GTTTGCGATCATTAGCGGCATTGGAAATTGTGAACATAACATGAGATAAATTTCAGGATGCGGTCTCACAACGACTCAAAGCCTTGAACGATCAATGGGAGCTGTTGGTGAAAACAACGTCAGAGAAGAGTTGTCGCCTAAAGGAAGCAAATAAGCAGAAAAGTTTCATGGCTGGCGTTAAAGATCTGGAGTTTTGGCTGGGAGAAGTTGAAAGTTCGTTCGTTCAGAAAGTTTACTGGTTGTTATTTTTGCGGGTGAATGCGCGAGAACTAATAGCGAATGATTTACGTTCTGTTCTGCTCATCGGTTTCGTAGCAACAAAAAGTTCAAAATTTGTTTCGTTCAACAAATTCTAACCGTGCGATTCGCGTCGTTGATGTGCTTTTGCTCATAACTGCGACAATTTTTGGTCACTTCCCAGTCTCACTTTGCTCGAAGCTTGCATTCATTTAATGAAATGATGATGTCGATTTCAGCACTGCTTGCTTCCGAGGATTACGGCAAAGATTTATCATCAATCGAAAATCTTCTCAAGAAACACCAGCTGCTGGAGGCAGATATTACAGCGCATGCGGATCGTGTGGGTGAAATGAATCAGCAGGCTGATAGCCTGTTGGAAAGTGGTCAGTTTGATCAACCGGAAATTGAAGAGAGACGACGGGTTCGTTCATTTATTTCTTTGGATATTCTTTTAGTGATATTGAAAAACTCTAGTTTTCTTCAAACGACACCTAAAATTAGCATCAGTCGAATGAAAAATTAAAAATTCATTGCCAAGTCTCGATCCACTTATCCTCAAACTGGTAGAATTTTAAATCGTCAGTTGCTTCATTACTGGAATTAGTCGTTGGGAAAGTAATATGAAATAATAGATTAGTAAGATAATATGAAGTAAAGTAGTCTGCTCAAGCGGTTGATTTGCAATCAGTTAAATGTTTAGGCTATCTGTGATCGTTATGAAAGAATTCGACAACTGGCTGATGTTCGACGTGATAAACTGAACAAAGCAATAACCGTGCATCAGTTCATTCGTGACATTGATGATGAGGAATCGTGGATTAAGTGAGTGATTATTGGAAGTGTGATCAATTCTCTGTCGTT